ACAGTTTCTGAGAGGGAATTTCATGCAGTCCTTTGATGTAATGCAGTGAAAGTGCTAAGGAAAATGGTCTCAGATAAAATACATTTTTTCTGAGCGCTTTGTGTTGTGCATGTTTCTTACAGATATATCAATTGAACCAACTACTAGTACTGGAAAAATAGAAAGTATTAAAACCCCACCACTGTGATGTTTTGAAGATGTGATTGACCTGTGATGGAGATCAGGAAAGTCGAAATACGGTGAATACATATTGGTGCTATTGTGGTTATCAGATTGTTATATACACTTCATGCAACTTTCAACTACACCTCAAGAAGTAATCTGCTATTTTAGACTTGATTAGTTGCTGTACTATGGTTGCTTTACAGTACTTTGGCAATCTAAAATACATTGAAGGACACAGAAATTATATCTGCATTCAGCCTGTTTCTATTATTTAATACAGTGACAGCACACTGTAATACAACTGTGCTTTAAATGACTATCAAGATCTTAAGACATGACTTTCCTCATCTTTTCTTAGAAATCCAAACAAATTAACAAATGCAGAGCTAACGTGGTGCCAGAACAACATAGTGAACATTGATCCCCAACAGCTGAGCTGTGCCTTTTTGTGTTAAGCTTTCAGCACCTTTTTTTCTTCCAAAATTAGTCATGAGTACAAGAATTTCAAGCTGGGGAATGTAAGATGGAGTACAGTCCTGCCAAAAAGGACTTGGGTGAACTGGTGGGTGGCAAGCTGGCCGTGAGCCAGCAATGTGCTCTCAGCACAGAAAGCCAACCATAACCTAGGCTGCATCAAAAGCAGCAAGGCCAGAAGGGCGAGGGAGGTGACCTGCCCCTCTGCTCTGCACTGTGAGACCTCACCTGGAGTGCTGCATCCAGATGCGGAGTTCTCAGTACTCAGGAGAGACGTGGAACTGTTGGAGTGCATCCAGAGGAGGGCCACAAAAGTGATCCCACGGATGGAAAACCTCCCTGCGAGGGCAGGCTGACAGCTGGGGCTGTGCGGCATGGAGAAGGGAAGGCTCTGGGAGACCTGAGAGGGGCCTTCCAATGTCTAAAGGGGGGCTCTAAGAAAGAAGGGGACAGACTCTTTAGCAGGGTCTGTCGTGATAGGAAAAGGAGAAATGGTTTCAAACTAAAAGAGGAGAGATTTAGTCTGGATGTAAGAAAGAAGTTTTTTACAATAAAGGTGGTGAGGCAGTGGCACAGTTTGCCCAGGGAGGTGGTGGAAGCCCTGTCACCAGAGACACTGAAGATAAGATTGGACCAGGCTCTGAGCAACCTGATTGAGCTGTAGATGTCCCTGTTCATTGCAGACGAGTTGGACTAAATGATCATTAAGGATCTCTTCCAACTCAAACGATTCTATGAAGATAAATCCCTTGTACTACAGAGCATTTATAGGAAAGCCTACTTTTCTCTTAGTACAAGAATTCATATGATCTCATGAAGATTATTTCTTCCAAAAGTGGAACTGAAGAAGTCTGGTTTTCACGGCCTGCCTGGGGGGATGCTTACATGGCAGTAGTACTTACCTGGATGGAGCCTTTGCAATGAGGCCAATGTTAAAAGTACTGAACCAATGCAGTTTCCCTCACCAACCAGCCCTTGATCAGTCTTCTGTGAAGACTGAGGTGCTTGTGCCAGATTAAGATACGAAGTTTCATGTACCCTGAACATGCTCATTGGATTCCAACCAGGGAACAGGGAGCTGTATTGATGGCAGGGGAGACTGCTAATTACTTGCTAAAATTAACATACAAGAGCAGATTTTTCTCCAACAGTTAGGTGCCAAAACATGCAGATAATTTAACAGTGGAATTTCAAACTGCATCAGCAAGATAAGCATCTAATCTCCAACAGGTTTTAAGCACTTACCCAGATTATTCTGTTTAAAATCTGATCTCCTACTAACCTGCAGATTTAGCAACTAACTAGCTTTGAAAACCTTTCCACCAAGGATTCCGTTTGGAGCAAGAACTATCAATAGGTGTCTAGGTGTCATCAAGACTTTTTTTCTGTCCTGTATCTTCACTTGCTCGAGATCATCAACCTGCACCAGGACTTCGAAGGCTGCTATTTTTCTGTATCTGGAGCAAAACTGGCACCTACTTTTCAGTATCAATGTGCAAAGGAAACAAAAAAAGGCACAGTAGTTTCAGCTCAAATGACCTGGAGAGAAAAACACTGAATAATGTCTGGTGAAAAGTACTCTGAATTCCCAGTCTACTGATGCTAATACAAAGCAAGAGTAAGTCTGAGTGTACTCTCTACTCCAAAATGTACAGTATAGCACCTCCATCCAAAGGCAATGATCTGTTTACCAACTCCCTTTAAAAACAGCTTCACTACAAAAAATCTAGAAGTTGAACATACCTGCTTGATTAAGCTGAAATTGAATAGATTTGTATTTTGTGGGATTTTTTGACATTTATTTCACTCAAAAAGAAAAAGCTGCAGAAAATTTTCTCTTGCAATTCATCTAAAATCAATGTGAGATCACACATTCCTTATGTTGAATATAAAGAACTGCCAACTGCGGTAACAATTTACAGTCCCAGAAAATAACTCACATTCACTCTGGATTTTCATCTATTGCTATTGGAGATTTGACTTGTAAGGTTGTCAATGCTAAGATATAAAATAATTCTGCGGAACAATGATCTTCTACAAAGTCTGCCATTTCTGCAGAACTGCCTTTCATTAAACCAGTCTTGTTTCCATTTCCTACCTTGTCCCTCACAAAAATTCTCTTAGTCTGATACTTTTCAGTCATGATTAAAAGGCATTTCTCAGTGTCTCCCCACTAAATATTTGTACTCTTTTTTTTTCTTTTTTTTTTCAGAAGCTGGCAGTGACATTCGTATCTTGCTTGGTATTTTGTATTGGACTAATTAAGACTATGAAGAAACTACTGCAAGATTTTGTTGCATAAAAACATAATGCTTCAGGCTGCATAAAACGCTTGTGAATAAGCAGATAGGATGAGTGGTTCAGTAGTGCTGGTTCCCTAAGCACCTTCATTCTGTCCCTGCCCTGGTAACAGCATTAGCTGGCAACACAGTTTGTGCTCATTTGCTATCATTCATGTGCTGGAATTGTCATGAATATCCCACAAAACATGGAACTTGTCCATATGTTTGGAATTCAGTCAAGTATATCCACCCCCATCTCCCTGAAAATAAAATAAAAGGATGAACACTGTCAAGCAAGCAAGCTTATATTAAGAGTTTGTTACATGACAATAAAAGAACCTCATGACTGTTCAGCACTACATCTCAAATACAGTGAACCTCTTCCAACTTATGATATCTTAATATGAACACAAGACGAGGGGAAGTCACAAATTTGTGCTTGGTGTCAATAGTGAGCCAGAACTCTGACACAATACCAAACTGTGCAGTGCTGGAGGTGTCCTGCTGCTGAAGGGCCCACATGAGGGTTATGTCTGCGGCTACCTGGACAGTAAAAAAGAAGCATTTTCCTGACCTTTTTAGATTCAAGGAATATCTGAACTGATATACTACACTACAATTCTCCAGACTAATTCTTCACTACTTGTTTGTGTCCCTAATGCACTTATGGTGTTACCTAGAACTGTCAGCTGGCATTAAAAGCAGAAATTGACATGAAGAGCAGTGAGGCCAGTGACACTATACTGAAATAGACCAGCAAGAGCAGTAAGTGACCACATGTTACATTGTAGAAAGCCTGAGGCTTCACCTCCAGTTTGCTGCAGCAAGAGGCTGGCACTCAAGAGGCGAAACGGACAAAAGGGAACAAAGGAAAATCTGCATCTTTCACTCCTTGACTGTTTTACCTCAGGTGACAAGAGCAGCCTTTCTGGGAGGGGGAATGTATCTTATCAGACTGTTCCCATCTGGGTCAATGTATAAAAAAATAAACCCTCAAATACAGGGAAAACAGTGAGAAGAATAATGTGCAAGCTTTTCCACCATTCCTGTCACCCTCCAGACACAGAAAAATGTAATAGACATTGAAATTCACTTCCTCAACCAAGCAAACCAAATTCCTCTTTCAGATAACCTACGAACATTACTGGCCAATAGCAATATATCATCTATTAAACTCTGTCCAGGTTTGGAAAGAGAAAGAAATTCCAGAGCCAACTAATGAAACTGTGTCAGCATTCTCTCTGGGTTCATAGCCTTTATTGAATCAACTTGTAAATATCTAGATCTGCAGGGCTTTTGAAAGGCTCAGTGCCCTTTACCCATATTATATCTTTCCTTTCTGGTAATGAGGGCAGAAGTCTGATTTGGGAAGTGATCCTAGGACCCTGGAGACACGGCTGAATCAAGAAGCAAGAACCTACCTGAGATGCTTCAGGTGTAAAGTATTTGCATGATTGAGATCTACTTCCTAGCATCACACAAGCATTTTCAACTAAAAAAACACCTCTGTTAATGTGGGAACCTGAGACACTGAGCACTGCTTTTCTTGCGCTGCTGTAGCCCTTACAGGTTAGTGCTGAATGGGTGCTAGGAAGTGTGTGGTGGCTGGAGGAAGTGAAGAGTGTATTATATTTTCTAAAGTCAATATCTCTATTACAAACCCTTCTAGTCTTTGGTTCCTGTCTAAAGGGAACAGTTACTGGGAAAAGCTTTCAGAGCAAACAAACCCGTAAACTGACGGCTGTTCTTTGTGGGGCTGGGTTGCAATGAAAATGGATTCAAGTATCTTTGAAACAGAAAATGCCAGTGCCATCGAAACCATAACTTCCTGCAGCAAGTTCCACTCCTGCTGTCAGATTCCAGTCCTGCTAGCAGATTCTCACTGTCACAGCAGTGCACCAAACCTCTGGGCTGCGACTAACCCATGTGCACATGGTTCTCCACTTGATCCAAATCCACTCCTACTGGTTCCCATCTAGCAACCATGTCTTTCCTAAACAAACCTATGGAGACCTGGAAAAGGAATCATTCCATCACATGTACAGCCCTCACTAACCTTTGCATTCAGATGGCTCTTACCTCTTTCTGGTGGTACTTTATTGCTACCTTTAGTTTTGCCAAATCATGACATTTTTGGGGGTCCAGCTCTTCACTTTGATCATCTCTGTGATTGAGAATAATCTCTAGTTCTCGGGAACTCCGTGCTTGATCCAAAAGGTCCTTAGCAAATCGCTTGCATTGCTGAGAAAGCTCTTCATATTCAGCCTTGAACTCATTTTCCACTTTGCTGAGCTCTTTCAGCTCCCAGCCCAGTCGAAACGCTGTCAAGATGGGGTCCTCACTTGATAAGGCAATCAATGAGGGGCTGGCTAAGGCTTTGTAGATGTTCAGCCTTGACCTGGAATGCCTCAGGCTGTCCACCTCCGAACTGGAGACACACTCCACACAATTGCATCTGATCTGATGTGGGCGTGGAATAGTTACCCGTCTTTGGACAAGCAGTTTGATGATTTCATAGTTGTTGGTGTGAGCCGCCAGCATTATTGGTGTGATATCTGGAGTGAATTCTGAAAACTGTGTGTCCATCATCAAGGTTGGAACCTATATAAAGGGAAAAACCATGGTCATATTTCATTCGGGACAGCAGAAAAGTGATGTTCCTCCTTCATACTGGTATACTTTTAAAGTGATCCCATAATAAAACAAAGTTTTTATAACAACCTATGTGCCTTAAATCCTTGTGTTCAGGTGTATGCATACAATTCTATTCTGGCAAAATCATCTTGCCTCAAATCTTGACTCTCTGCCCCCAGAACAGGATTAGGTTGGTGTAAAAGTAAGTCACAATCCCATTGAATGCTTTATATGTGAACTCAGTCTGAAATTGCTACTAGTTCATATACCAAAAGGAGAACTTGCATAGGAGAAAGGAAGACAAAGGCACAAGTAATTACACAGGAAGAAAAGCCTAGAAACACTGCATACATTCCCGTAACTATCATTATTTCCATCATATACATGCATTAGCAGACCAGGAACCTACTGGCAACAGGCACTATACAAACCAAACTGAACTCTGGTCCAGAGTTGAGCAAAGCTCCTCCTCACCTTTTCCCTACTATTTTTATTTGAAGTTACTTTTCAGTGGAAGGATACATTACATAACTGCCCTCAGAATAGATTTGTTTTTATTTTAATGGGTTTGAAAAAAAATTTAAATGTAAAATTAATGAGCCATAGTCCACTACAAATAAGACACTCCAGGGTGTGCATTATTCAGCTACCGTTGCACTTCTCAAAAGATGAGCTTAATGCATACCCTGTTGTGTCTTATTACTATATGCAGAGTGCGAAATTAGACCAAATGCTCTTACATCCCAAGCACACAGTGTGTTTCCATTTGCAGCACAGGCAGCTCTCTTTGTTGTGTGTTAATCATTACTCAGGCATACTGTACTTCATGTGCCCACCACTCCTGCCCCGGCAGCTGGCATCCTGCTGCTCAGGGGGTGATTGCTGGTTTTGGTGAACAGTAGGTCTGCTTCCCCTTGCAAATGTCAAAGGCATTTCATAGAAACAACTGTCAAAGAGTTCTAACGACAGGAAACATTACTCAGTCCATAAAAAAACGAGAGTAAAGTAACGACAATTAGCATGTAGCAAGCAGCTAGCAATCTTTCTGTGGGCTAGATGTAAGACAGGTTGTGAGACAGTGAACCTCTGACCACTGAAACTGATTTCCCTAGGAGTGAATTGCCTGTGTAGCACTAAAATGCTGAGGACTCCTGGGCAGGTGCTGATTAATAAAGCTCTACATGCAGCAGGACTCAGCCTATTCACCATGCAATGCTTTCCCAAAGGCCAGCAGCACACTGAGGTATGGGGTCATTTACTGGAGCAGGGCACACTGGGAGCCTAGAGGCATTCCTGGAAATGCTATGAGTTTGCTACCCCAGGGGCAGCATATGAGGAGTTAAATCACACACAGGGGCAGTCATTGGTAACAAGGCTCTTCCCACAGAGGCAGTCAGAAGGGAATCTATAAATACAACTCATGGCAGGGAAAACAGAGAATTGTAGTGATGGTTTTCTGCAGGTCATGGAGGGCTTGGTGTCTCTGTGCAAGGTTGGATAATGGTATTTTAAGATCTGTGGTAACAAACTGCTGAAAGCAGCTCTCTTTGTAAGGTCTGTGACATTCTTTCTTTTCCTTTGTTTAGCTGGTTTAGGTAGTTTTTTAAATGTCAAGAGAAAGGTGCATGTTCCTCTTTTCTTTCTCTCTCTGAAGTGTTTTTAAGCCCTGCTGCTTGCATAACTGCCTTTATCTTTCTTCTCCTCTTTCTCAGTCAGTTGCTGGCTGCTGCGTTCAGAGCCTCTGCCTCAAAGAGAAGAGCGCTTTCCCCATCTCTATCACCCCTATTACTGTCAAATTTAATCTTGTTTTCCTGTATGGAAATTACTGTACCCAGAGCTGTAAAAAGAATTTTCAGCTTTGTCCAGATGAGGTATTCTTGTTGCTCAGCAAAGGGAAAAAGCCTTGTAGACAAGGTGATAATGTTACAGGTGGGGACAGGGCTACAGGGCTGAGTGCGTCTGCTACTGTCCTGCTCCTGAGGCTTCCTAAACCTGGATCCAGGGCTCTCAGAAGAGTTGTCTCAAGGCATGGGATCAGACTGGGGGTATCTGCCAACTGATCTCCCATCCCTTACTCTGGCTGCTATCACAAGCCTTACCCTCACGGTGAAGCTCTGCTTTGGTAGGAATGAGGCAGCCACTCAGTAAAAGATGTATTTGCCTGGGCAGCTTGCAGCACTTTAATTAAAAGGACAAGAAGGGCAATGGCAGTGCAGAGAAACAGGGGCTCTCTGGAGCCTGGAAACAGATCGGCCTAATGCTTCACATTACAGGAACTGAAGCTCACTGCTGATTATAGCAGAACAGCAAAACAAAGCAGCAGAACACAGAGCAGGAACTGTGTAAGGGATGGCTGCTGTGGCCTCTTCCCTGTGTCTAGGTGACCCAAGGACCATGCACTAGCCAAAAATGACATGGCTCGCAGTGATCATTTTTGTTGTTGTCTTGCACAGCTCTTTGATAACTTGCATCTTCATGAACAAACTGTCATGTTTTAGAGATGGGGCTATGCAAGGAAAGCCTTTGCTCCTAAGGCTACTGTCACCAGAGGGGCAGCAGATTTTAAAACAAGATGTTGTAATTGCTGATGTTCCTCCTGCACTACTGACAGGTTGAGTTCATGTTTAGATCAGCTTTTTCTGTGTCTTGGGTTAAGTTAGAGTGATGGAAGCAGAAGAGGAATAAATTATTTCACCCTCAGAGGTCTCTGCTAAGCTTTCCCAAGGTTATTTTCATTAAGTGACCTGAATAACAAATTCTTTTCCATTAACCTCACCAGCTGACACAAGCTGTTAAGCTGAGTCCTTCAGAACCTTACTGTCAGTGCTTGCATAGGAGCATGTGCCACCCCTGTAGTTCATCTTAGTAATGTTCGCTCAAGAAATTGATGCCACTACTAACAACTAGCAATCAAATGCTTGGTACCTTCTTTCTTGGATTAATCCTCATAAATGTAGGCTGCTCAGCACTATACCACTGCTTCTCTGAACGATACCGCAGTGAGTGAAAAATCTCATTTAAAATGGAGGGGAGGGTGAAACAAGCTTAGTTCTGTAGAGGAGAAGAAGCTGGAGGATTACCTCACATAAAAGCACTGTTCAGTATGGCAGAGCTCTCCTCTGAGCAAAAAAACCAAAAGTTTTCTGCTAAATAGCATGCTGCTGGAAAGAAGCTCTGGATAGGAAAAGCAGGAATCACTGCTCAAGCTAGTAATTAGTATGGTGTAAAAGGGGAAGAAATATCAAGAAGAAGGAAAAAACAACAACAACAAAAAACAACAAGCCAATCTGATACTGAAAAACTGAAGGCTGTGATTGGCCTTTTAACAGCTTTACTTTGGTCTACATCTAGAGCAGTATGAGTGCCTCCAGAGCACAGCGTCTGGGTCACAGTGGTGAGAAGCAATCCAGCTGAGGGGTTCTATGCTGCTCAGCAACGTGAACCAAAGCAACCTGAATGGAGGGGACAAAGAGATACCTCAGATGGAGGCAAAGTAAATATAATGTTTAAACACTGAAGAATTTCGAAGCGAGCTATGGTGCTTATACAGTATCATCCACTTCAGCAAATAAGGACAAGTAGGTGAAAAAAGCTGTTCAGGAGAGAAACTTGCCATCAGGTTAACAATATTCAGCTTTGATGAAGGAGCCTGGTTCTGTCTACTATTCGAGAATGACTTTCTGTTTGTCTTCAGCCTCTTTGTACTGACAGTCCTCCTAATTACAGCCTGGTAACCCTACTACCAAGTCTCCTCCATGTACAGGGCTCCACAGTGCTCACCCGGACTGCAGTGCTTAAAACTGCTGTTTCCCCAGGTAAAACCCTTAGTGCTCCAGGCCTGAACTGAACAGACCATGCAGCAAAGCCTAAGCACAAACCCCTTCACTCCCAGCTCTGTTCATCTGTCAGCAAGCTTCTTGGGTCAGAGGCTGCTTAAATACGCATCTTGTTTTGAGATGCACTGAAAATGTTCATTAGGAGTGCTACTACTTGTACTTGTTACAGATGGAGTTGACACATTCTCAGGCTATCTCAGTTCTGTAAACTAGCACCATACCTGGGCCACTGTAACAAACGGTGAGTATAACCACAACAAAATGTAAATATACTGGTCAACATTATTTTCAGCTAGGATAACCTTTTGATTGGGCTCTGATTATAGATGTTTCTCTAAGTGTCAAAACAATGCTTTATTAAGCAAAACAAAGTCAAACAACTTCATGGAAGATTTAAATGCAATGCAAGCAGAAACGGAAGCTTGGTTAGTTTTTTGAGCAAAGATTACCTATTTGCAGTTTATTTTTCTGTATGCAGCCCTATGGGGGAAGTGCATACACCATCCATGAGCATTGTAGCACTGTACGACAATTGCTGTCATTCTAGAAAGATTTTGTACTACGTCAATTCAGCACGAGGCTCAGTGGTCAGAAGGAGCTTTAGCAGTGACTATTTTGTTCAGAATCGCAGTCATGTGGCACTTTGAGACACAGCTCTATAAATAGAGAATGAGTGACAGTGTTGCTAGACTGCAGATCAGCCATGTTACCAGCAAAAGTGTTGTGGAAAAATGTCTATTGTGGTGGTGCGACCATTCTCAGCTTGCTCCTTGCTTAAGCCCAGAAACAAACTGTTTCATGGACAGAACACCATGGGCAACTGTGGGGCTCAGGGGAAAATGCTGCACACTTCTAAAAACCCAGGCATGCATTTTAGGTGGTACAGTAATGTTGATTTCAATAACTGAATATCTTCATCAGGCATTCATTGGGAGACATCTTTTATCACTGAGAATGATGGCAGTTTCTATATTTAAAAGGGTGTTGTCTTTTTTAGCTAAATAGCAATTCACTGAATATCATTTCATTAATGAAATATATTGAGCAGCACAAACTGATAATGAAGTAATGTACTTTAAGGGGTTTTGTATTGGTTATGAGTAAGTTCTTATCTCTGGCGTAAAGACTGCT